AAAAAGTAGCAACGAAAATAATTTTATGATTGGGGGTGTCACCACAACACGAGGAACTGTATTAAAGGGTCGCAGCATTAGGAAGGTTGAGAACCATTGGTCTGTAAGATTAAGCCTTTGGAAATCCAAGATCAAGTCGCCAAAACCCTCAGTTGGCTTCTCTGCATTGAATTTAACTGGCCCAGCAGATCCCCCTTGGGAACCTCTGTTTTGATTGGACCCTTTATTTGAAGGCACCCTAAAAAGACTAAGACAAGTGCATTACTGAGAATGTGTCTGCAGCCACCCACTCTCGCAGACATGTTGACACGTGTTTGGAGTAAATAATATGCACGTGTGAGCCGAACTCTAGGAGTGGTATGTTTTCACTTACCCTTGTATGTTATCTGTTTATGAAAAAAATGACTATATTCCAAAACAAAAATCAATGAGAAGAGAGCAGTTTTTTGTATTATTGCAAAGCTCTCTAATATTTAGATCAATACACCAAATAACTCAGTGCCATCAAGTGAATTCTGGCTCAGCGTGACCCTACATGGCACCTGGCGCTGTAGTCAGCGGTGGGATTCAGCCAGTTGGTACCAGATCAGCAGAACTGTAACCTAATTGTTGAGTTTGGTGAACCGTTAAAATAGCACTTGTAATCTCGCTAAGGTGGGCAGCTGCCCAATGTGAAAATCATAAATTCACATCCTTACTCTTTTTGAATGTTCATCTGTGCAACAGTGTATTCTAAATACCCACAGTAATGTACATTCCGTCCATAGGTATAAAACAGCACATGGACCTGTGCTTGTACTATTATGTGTTTTACAAAACTTGTTTTATGTACTCATAATACTTTTGGTGAAACACTACATTTTTATTCCCCTTGCATTTGTTACTTCAGTTAACAAACCGAATGTAAACAGAAAAAGTGCCACACAACACTGTCATTCATTTACACCCCAAATTGTCACGAGATATTTATGATGAGTGAATGATGCAATTCCTGAAAGTGTTCAAAGAGCTAAAAATATTGTCAAAACAATTTCTGTAAGTTCAGCAAAAGCGGAAAGGGATTTTTCACAGATGAACATAATATGTTCTGAGAAGAGTAGTCACCTGTTCTAATCTATGGAGCACCATGACTGTTGTTTAATTGACCTACTTCTGAAGGAATGGGATCCTACTCCTACAGTGAAAAGATGGTTAAAGATAGTCACATAGCCGATGATGCTCAGGTAAAAGCAAAGACTATTGCACGTGAGGATGCCAGTCCAGAACGAATATGGAAATATATTAACAGTTTTATGTTTGTCAAGTATCAGTTAATATTTTTAAGTATTATTTTAAAACTCAAAGTTTTGTGTACTTCATTTATTGTTCTTATTTAAGTGTTAACTGTATGAAATAACAACCCACCTTTCAGTATATTGGTTATTTATACCTAAAATGGTCATTAGGGCAGCAAGCTGGTTAAATTATTTGAATCCTACCACTGGATGTGGTGCTTATGCATTTGATGAGCTGCTAATCACAAGGTCAGCAGTTCACAACCACCAGCCACTCTGCTGAAGAAAGATGAGACTTTCTATTTCTGTAAACAGTTACAGTCCCAGAAACCCACAGGGGCAGTTCTACTCTGTGCTATAGGATTGCTGTGAGTCAAGAATAGGCTGTATATAGCTCAGTTTTCATACCTGCTCCAACCTGTTGTGAGCTGTCGTTTTGGTTGAAGCCTAGAGAGAAAAATCTCACCTCCCACAGATTGGTAGAAAAGGGAGGCAGCCTTTTCAGATAATTGTGGATATGCTTCTTAGCCTCTGGAAAATCCACAGGACGCTCATGCAGGAGGAGGTTGAAAAGACATTATTTTGGTGTTATTATAAAAAATAGTTTGACCTCACTGACAACCTAAGCATGTTTTAGGGACACCCTCAGTCCAAGAAGTTCCAGGATCATCCTTGGAGAATGCTGCTCTAACCTTTGACTATGATGAGAAAACTGAAAGCGAAAAATGTTCAGCGATTTACACAGACATTACATTTGATTGTGGTAATGGTTGTACAACTCTTCCTGATATAAGTGAACCATTGAATTGAATGATATTTGGGTTATGTCCCAATGAAACTGATTATTAAAACAATTACTTGGTTTGTGGGAGACTGAGCACGGGGGCCCAGCTCTTCAGGTTTTCATTCTGATACTTTGTGGGGACTTAAGTAGTATGACCTAGAGCAGCGGTTCTCAACCTTCCTCAGGCCGCAACCCTTTCATACAGGTCCTCATGCGCTGGTGACCCCCAACCATAACATTATTTTCACTGCTACTTCATCACTGTCATTTTGCTACTGTAATGAATCAGGTGGCTCCTGTGAAAGGGTCATTCGATCCCCAAAGGGGTTGCGACCCACAGGTTGAGAATCACTGACCTAGAGAAACTTTTTGGAGTTGATTCTGGGTGTATTTAAGAGACTTTTCTGATATATATAAAAATGTATTAGTTCCTTTTCATCTTTCAAAACCGCCTGATAGGAAACCAAAACTTTAGCCTCACAAATGAATTTATAAAAATTACTTTTTGCATTTATTGTTGGGTGCCAGTTCAAGCATTTTTGAAAAGATGTAGACATTATTGTACATAATAAAGAATTTTAAAGATATAATTTAGTTTTAATTGACCATCTTTCACTAACTCACAAAGCAAAACCTCACTGACATCTTCTTTCTCAATCGTCTTAAATAAAATTTCCATTTTGCTGGTGGTAGTTATTTACATGTCCGTAGTAAGAGGCATTTTCCATGTCTGGATTTCCATTCAACCATTCAGTGACTTTCCAATCTTGTTCACTCCTTCCTCTCGGATTCTCTGTGGTCTCAGACACATTAATCACTTGAATACCTGACTTGGAAAATTTTTGGATAGTCTTTATTTGGCTTGTTTGAGTAGGCATTTCTCTAACCTCATCTTCAGTGCCTAGCAATAGCTAGAGAGCCCTTGAAAAACAGTGCTATCCTCCGTCAAACGTTTGCCTAGATCTTACCACCCTCCCACGCCCCACACTCCCTCCAGCCCGTAGTCCAAGACCGCCATTCTCTTCAACATTCCCAGGGGTTCAGTAGCCTGCTCTGCCTGTTCTCTACCCCCATTTTGTGGTCGCTACTTGGCATTTTCTTCTTTTAAAGATTCTTAATGTCTTCCAATCCATAGTCTGAGTGTCACACCGAGTTCCATCTTTTCCTTTGAAAGGCCGGGCCATGAACAGAGGGACCGAGTTAATGGCTCTGCATCTGATATGTGTTGCCCTTTCTCTCTGCCTGTCTTTAGTCATAAAGGTAGAGATGGGGGCCCAGATGTCCAGGCTGCACTGAAAGAACTCTCACTATGTCTGATTGTATCACACTGCTTTCCCTTTGAAGCTGGAGGAGCTTGCCTTGGACTAGTCCAGGCTGCTAAGCGCCAGGTCAGCAGTTCGAAATCACCAGCTGCACCTTGGGAGAGAGATGAGCCTTTCTATTCCCATAAAGAATTACAGTCTCTCACAATGATCTACATATAACCCCCTCCCAGGGGGATGGACAACAGAAAAGTGGGTGAAGAGAGACATAGGTCAGGGTAAGACATGAAAAAAATTTGTTTTAAATGATCAAGAGTTCTTGAGGGAGGGAGGGCGGGGGCGGAGGGAAATGAACTGCTACCTAGAGCTCAAGTAGAAAGTGTTTTGAAAATGATGATGGCAACATATATACAAATGTGCTTGACACAATGGATGTATGTATGTATGGTGATGAGAGCTGTATGAGCCCCCAATAAAATGATTCTTTTTAAAAATTAGTCTCAGAAACGCACAGGGTCCGTTCTAACTTCTTCTGTAGGGCTGCTGTGAGTCTGAGTCTACTTAGTGGCAGTGGATTTGTGGGGGTTTTTGTTTTAGTTGAAAATATTATTGAGAATTCTATGTAACCTAGAACTTAAAGATTTCTCTTCTAGATTTTTTTTTTTTCTTAACAGTTTTATTAGCACTTCATCCACGTGTCATATGGTTTTCTGATTCTCTGTATCCACTGGGACGGAGAGTTGTGTTCATGGTTCACGGTCAGAGCTTAGTCTAACTCACTGCAGTTCCGA